TGTTTGACGGTTTAAAATCATATTTCCTATCAATTGACAAATTTTCAACTTTAATAAAAGATTTTTTTAACAATCCATTATCATTTTTAATTCTAATTTTTTTACAAATTCAATGCGAATTGTTTTTTACACGTATAAAAAGTGTGGAGGCCAGAGACATTTCTATAATTGAGGTTAAATATCATGTTGAGTCTAACACTAAAAAAATTAAATCTCGTAAAAATGAAAATTTGTTTGCATCCAAAGAACGAGAAGTATTAAATGCATTAAGAGATGAAGCAGTTTTATCTGAAAACATGTATATTAATTATCGTAACATATTTTATGACACATGTTTAGAATATATAAAAGAATGGTCAAATCCCACTTTAAGTAAATTTGATGGTATAACGTGAATTACACTTAAAAACATTGAGCATGATTTTAATTGGGTTAATATTCAAACTACTATTGAATTAATCAAAAATATATTTCCCAGAAACAATTTAATTAACGACTCATTTATTTGATGAATTTACAATGATTAAAGATATGTGTAAAACACAATGAAAATATTCAATCCTTTAAAACTTTATCAGAAATGTGGATATATATTTTGAAATCAGTGAATAATATTGATGATGGCTATTTTCAAAATTTTAAAATAATAGTAGTTTTTAATATGCATACCAGGTTCAAATGGAAATGTTGAAAGAATTTTCTCAAATATGAATAACTTATGGACGGATGAAAAGAATAAAATGGAAATAAAAACAGTTAAAGCTATGTTGATAGTGAAGACATTTTTTAAGGAAACCTGTACAGAATTTCATGACTTCTTAATTGAAAATCAATCATTATAAAAGAGATTCATTCTTCTAATAAATATTATAATACTCCATGAACATTATAACAACCAATTAGTTTTGTAAGTTTAAATTATGTAAGGTATAGTGTATACATATTTTTTTTTATAAAGACGAACGTACTATTTATTTTAGATTTTGTTCCTATNGAATAACTTATGGACGGATGAAATAATAAAATGGAAATAAAAACAGTTAAAGCTATGTTGATAGTGAAGACATTTTTTAAGGAAACCTGTACAGAATTCCATGACTTCTTAATTGGAAATTAATCATTATTAAGAGATTCATTCTTCTAATAAATATTATAATACTCCATGAACATTATAAAAACCAATTAGTTTGGAAGTTTAAATTATGTAAGGTATAGTGTATACATATTTTATAAAGTTGAATGTACTATTTATTTTAGATTTGGTTTCTATTGGCTAGGTATTTCCAAAGAAAAACTAAAACAGGGTTGTTATTTTTATTTTATTAAAAAAAGTTTTAAAATGTTATATTTATACTTTAATAAGTACCTATGGTATAATACTGTTGAAATATTATTCAAATAAAATACGTTAACATTTTTAATATTATTTATTTTTATTATCTATTGATATAGAAGTATACGGAAAACTGGTATAATTTTTATAAGTGTTTACACTTATATTTACAACTATCTAATAATTTTTAAAAATTTTAAAAATTTTTTCAAAATAATTTTTCCATATATGAAATGTGTTCTTTATTATTTTATAATTTTGTCTAGTTATTTTAATAACTAGAAATACTAAATATACTAAATATAAGATAAACATAACAGTTAAAGTTACATTGAAACAATATATTACAACTGAAAGAATCCTTAATCAAATACATAAAATATTCATAAATGACTATATAAGTAACAATAAAAAATATATTTTATTTCACTAAAATGTGTAGTAATATACACTAATACAACATTATAAATAATTAAAGTTAAAAAGTAATTTACACAGTTGTTATGGTAAATATCTCATGTTTTATTATTACATATTTTGACTTATTATTAGAAAAAAGTCTATGCACTATTTATAAAAAATAACTAGTTAACAGTTTACAGTTTTACCACAGGCCCACTTTTACACTATGCCAATAAATATATTTTAAATTTAACGGTCATCCGTATTAAAAATAACATTTAAATAATAGACAACAAAACAAAAAATTTGAAAAACTAGAAAAATATTACAATCAAACACTATAATGTATTCATTTATTGAGAACCTTACTGTTTTACCATCAATAAATTGCAACAACATTGATTTAATGGTACGTGTGTTAGCTATTGGATTCTGGTAAAAGCCAGCCACAACTCCAAATTATAATATACCCATTAAAGCGTGATTGGAATTTGATGAATTTCGAACGTTGTATTCGGGCAAACACATAGGACGTCAACTTTGACTTCAGTCACAAGTAGTTTAGCAGACATAACTGCAATTTTCAATGATAGTTGATAGGGATAGTAGTTCAATTTCTATTGTAATGTCAAATCGAGCAATATTGCGTTTTCAATTTTAAATTCTGAAACTATTTTGAATTGTAGTGATAAATAATAATTCATAATTCGGGTATCGACTATGTCTTCTAAGTGTCAACTTGTCTCAAGTTGATACTTAGAAGACATAATTGTGTACAGATGATGAATTTCTACTATAATTCACAGTCGTTTCAAAAATTGAAGATGTTGAAATAACTGCAAAACTGCTGCTATTGGAGATTAAGTAGACGTTGAATTATTATTTTTGGTGGTATCATTGAAAACTCTAGTCATGTCTGCTTAACCCAGTCGCAATCATAGCCGAAGTTGACACCTTTATGTTTGCCCGAATAAACCGGTCGAGATTCATCAAATTTCAATAAAACTATATTGAATACATTGCAATTTAGAGTAGTTGCTGGTATTGACCAGAATCCAGCGGTAAACACACTAACCGACAAATCAATGTTTTCGCAATTTAATGATGATGAAATAGATTTGTAAATTGATTTCATGAGATAATAAAAACCTTAACACTTCTATAACTAAATTAGAAGCAATACAAAGTTTAAAAGAAAATTTAACTACCATTAACTAAACAAAAACTAAAGTAATAAATGAAACCATAAAAATTATTTTTTATAATAATACAATATATTCATGAACTAAAGGTTTAACTATGGGTAATCCTTTAAGTGTCATTATCTCAGAAGTATATTTACATACATATTATCAAAAATCCCAATATCAAACAATAATGTAGGTTTGTAAATAATACTTTTCTATATGGTAAGTAAATTAAACAAAATCAATAAAAACATACAATTTCCAATTGTTTTAAAAACCGATTATCGAATATACGTTTTAGACCTAAACATTAAAATAATCAATAATAAATTTGAATTTAATATTTATATTCAACCCACACAAACTTATGTTATAATATCTAATAAATCTAGTCATTATTATCCAAAACAATTAGCATGTTTTAGATGAATGCTGCATAGATTAGAGAATATCTCTTTAAACAATAATAACTACATTTAAGAATTAAACACAAAAAAGAAAAATAGCTATAATTAATGGTTATAACTTAAAAAAAACATTAACAAAATACACTTTTATATTAAAAACCGAAATAAGAATAGTATCATTATTAATAAAGATGACATCAATTATACTAGTACAAAATACAACGGTTTCTTGATTAACAATATCATTAAATTTATAATTAACATAATCTAATTTATAAGCCAGCATTTAATACTTAGAACTGTCCAATTAAGCCCCCAAATAATAAAATCATTAAACATTAAGCCCACCCAATTCATAAATATGATAACTCAGATGTGTATAAATTTAATATTTATATAATTTAGTTTAATAATTTTTAAAATTTAAACACTTTTCTGAAAATTAATAACTAAACGATAACTAAACGAAAAATACAATTTTCTGATAAATAAATAAATGATTTATAAATGTGTCTTAAACATTCGTACTAATATTTAATGTTTATTTTAAAATTGTCAATATTGATGTCACGTTAAGTCAAAATTAGCTAAGATACACACTTCAATATGATTACCTGAAAAAAATATTTAATTTTACATTCATATATATATATATATATATTATTAAACGGTTATAATATTGTTTTATAGTAAATACATATCAAATGCAATATTTAAAATATATTTACAAAATAATTTATGTTAAGTCATCGATTCAATTTAAATTTTGATAAAACACTTTAAAAACATACTTGAAATAATCTTCTAAATGTTCGTTTTCATATTTTCCGCCAGAAATAACAATCAAAAACGTTGGTAAACCATATTTAATTGGACACCTTAAAACAATAAAATTGAAATTATATTCATAAATCCAACGAGTGGAGATTTGTGAAAGAAACAAAATGATGGGAATTAGAAAGCCTGAAAACGTAAAAGCTTATGTCGATATAAATGCTAATTTGTTTGCGACAACAAAGCATTAAATAATATAGTAACAGAAATGTCTGCTGATTGAGAGAAGAAAAAACAACACGAACAAGATAACTGTAAAATATAATAAACAATTAGTTTACCTGAACAACGTCAACACATTTGACAATGTGTATTCAGGGTGTACTTTTTTTAGAACTCTGGTAGTAGTTTTGACTGTAATTTCACTATAAATATTTATTGTGTCTGCGGTGTATTTACCTTCGGCATCCCATGGTGCCTTTTCGGAAAATAGGTCTACTAACATCTTATAGAATCTTAAAACAAAACAAATAATGTTACACAGTTTATATAATAATAATTAAAAAATTGAAAAAAAAAAACTTATAAGAAGTGTTCAGAAGCAAAATATATATACTAACGTAGTATCCTCATGCAAATCAGGTACAACAACAGATGCATAATGCTCCGGAAACGAAAAAAGTACTGACCATACGAGTCGTTGATTTTCTGTTAAATGTACTCGTGGGATTACATCAAGATCATCAGTATTTAAAATGTTCATGTCTTCGATCATATCACCATCTAAATTATAAAAAAAAAACACATTTTTTACGGACAAATAAATAATTAAAATTATAATAATAAAAAATTACATTTTTGGCCGACCACATACAATTTTCTTTTATTAATTTCTTTTAGTATTTTATGCTCTTCTTTGTTCGAAACTAAACGTTTTGCCATCTCAATTTTCTAATTAGGCAAAATAAACGACATAAATATCTCATAATATACAATTTTTAATAAACAATTTATCATACCTTAGACTCCGTTAAATTTCTCAAATAAATATGACAACAATATAATGATTTATTAAGGTCACTCACGTGAATGCAACAATTGATACCTCTTGAGAATGCTATTTAATATCCTGGCATCAATTGGTGGGCTTCTTCTTCCGTTACCAAACACGATCTCGTTAATAAGTGTAGAAATTAAAAATCATACGTATTTATGACTTTGGCTATAGTTTTATCGATGTGCCTATAGTTATAAATAATTAAGTATTGAATAAGACGTATTGAAATGTTAAACAAGAGAAATTGCAAAAAAAAAAAAAAGACTACCAGATATGATATGTATAATCATACAAGTAAAGACGCACACATACGAAATACATTGCAGCTGTTCGAGCGTCCCAATCACACAGTTTGATCAACACAAATAATTCTAGTGAAAAATGAAAAATGAATAATATTGATATCGGCTACATGAATATTACGGTATAAATATAATATAGTGTACAATAAAAATTATGGGTACTATATTCGTACTCAATTTTATTATTATAATAATATTGTAATATCGATTACCTTGCAACGTCCCGTTATAAACCGCGGCAATTTAAATTTGAAATACATCCCGCGAACTGCTTAACTGCCGTGGCGCGTTCGCGAGCAGGTCCTATACAGCTTTTGCCGGTCGGTAGTCTAACCATGAAAACAACCACTCAAAAACAGCGTATAACCACCACCAGCGTGCAGCTAGCATAACGACATCAGCAGCAATATCAACACGCCAAGTTCAAACGTCCCCGTCCACTGTTATTTGCATCTCGTAGGCCCACTGCAGTAATTACCATATGTATAAAAATAAATAATTCACGAATTTTAATTTCAATGATCCTGTAAGCACCGACCTTCACAATACGTGCATTCCCCGCTTAACAATTATAAAAGCATGCACGCCCCCTCCGCGTTGTTCTTTTTTCCTCCGAAGACCACTGATGAAGATGGAAGTACACATATATTTAGTTCCGTCTATTCTATATTGTAACATGCCCTTTTAATTTTAGGAATAATTTGTAATTTATACTACGATACACCTAGGTCTGCCTACAACCATTGTTCAGTTGTTCTTAAATCACATCGCATACACATGCCCCTTTAGATAGCCATTTAATTTTCTTCTCTTTTTTCCTAAAGTTTTGTCACAAAAATGGGAATCCTGGCACAGTCAGATATTTTCACTTTTAAAAATTGATGTAAACGACAGTCAAATGCTTCGACCCCATTGCTACTTCCTGGTTATTTGTTAAAATAAAATAAACTAATATTTCTGATTAAGTAGAAATATAAGGTTAGACTTTGGCATTACATCCTTAATCAACAGCAATGTCAAAATAAAACACCAGGAAAGAACAAAGGCGGAAAATAGGACAAATACAAAAATAGTACAAGAATATCAAGACATGGAGTGTATGCATAAACTCCATATTTACTATGTGATAAAAATAATACAGTTTTGGGTAGTTGATTATTATTCGAAGTCGTAATANCAGCAATGTCAAAATAAAACACCAGGAAAGAACAATGGCGGAAAATAGGACAAATACAAAAATAGTACTAGAATATCAAGACATAGAGTGTATGCATAAACTCCATATTTACTATGTGATAAAAATAATACAGTTTTGGGTAGTTGATTATTATTCGAAGTGGTTTGACGTTATACAAATTCAAATAAGAAATATACAGGCAAAATATCTATAAAAATATTCCCTTTCAAACTATGTGTTCAAAAAAAACGGTTCCTATTTGAAAATTAAAGGTATGCTTTTATTTAAGGTATATGGAGTAGAGCAAAAAAATTAAAAATGCTTTTTAAAATACAGCCTTACGATTCTTTAATGATAAAAAATAAACAAAAATTAAATTGATTTAAAATCTTTTGAGATACTTGCTGCTTCATGAAAAAATATTACTCAGTATTGGTATTTAGAAAAGAGCTGTAGAAAATATTTTCTCGGTTTGGTATACTAAATAAGACCTTATCTAACACTGTACTATTAAACTCGTTTGAGTTTTAAATTGTTAGTACAAATGATGACATTGGGCGTCATATTTTAGTCCTAATCACAGTTAAAGTAAATGAATGTTAGAGAAGAGTATACGGAAACCTTTAGGTCGTGAATATATT